AATCCAGCACACCCAAGGCCGGCCTCTTCCTTACATTTACACATTAAATTCATGCATATTCTAGCTGTCTAATACCTATTAATTCTGATCTAGTTGTGCAACTCTGTGGCGTCATTCTCTTGGCTCCTTTTCAGATCCTTCTGCGTATGTCTTCCTCCTTTCGGGGGTCTCTGGTGCTCCTCGGTGGTCTTCCCGGATGAGTACCCTAACTCCTTTTATCCATAGATGGATAAAATAACCAAAATCCTTGTGCCCAAGGTGTTTCTTTCTCATGGTACCTCTCTCTTTGGATGGAGAAACTTGCTGCTTCCTGCCAGTACACTGTTAGCTGTTAACTGCTGCCATTGTTGGGATTCATTGCTTTTTCTTGCTTCCATGATGTCCACTGCCACAGCGAAAGCAGAAAGAACAGCGTACACTGCTGTTCCTAATCAACAGTTCTCCTCCCATTCAGGTCCTAGGCTGCCTCTTAATGAAAAAAATTATCGATGGGGGGAAATGAAGTTTCAGTCCTGCAAAATGGTAAAGCATACAGTTATCCCCAGGACAGGGGGTCACATTTACAACACGGGAAAGGAAAAGGAGCCGCAACCTCAAAAGAGAAGGATGCCATTGCTTGAAGAGTAAGAAGGATACAGATGAAGCCAAAGAGAAGGGAAGGAGATACAAGGCAGAATTCAAGAAAGAGGACTAGTGGTTTGTAGCACCACCAGAAGCACATGTGACTGGTGGTTACTTGGGAAAAAGAACCACCACCACCACCACTGGACTGGACGGACTCATCACCAGAGCACACCAGTACCGCTTGCCGTTGGTCTGCCAGTGGGAAGGGTGACAGATGTGTACGTGAAAAGCAGGTGCCAGTGGCTCCATGGGCACAGGTGGCACAAGGCTGGCTCCGCGTTGGTTACGCCCGAGCTGGGGAAGAAGTACGAAGACATCGAAATGACTGGAGGCCTTCTAGTCTCTCTGGGAGCCGATCAATCTATTTGTAACTCCAGTACCACCAGATGGCCGAAGACTAACTGCAAAGGGAAACACTGCATGCCCGACCGCTAGGACTTTGTCACTGGAATAAAGTGATTTCTGCGGGACTGACTTCACCCAAGTATGGAATAAAACTGCTCCCTGGGATCAAGGTGGGCAGTACTGGTGAGAGCTGTGAAGAGAGAAACGATGAGGAAAGGCTCCCACAGTTCCGTGAGCCCTGCAACTGACTGGGGCACACAGGGGAAAGGAAATTCAGGAAAGCTGATGAGGACTGTGGATAATCTCAGAATCATGGAATGCTTTGGGTTGGAAGGGACCTTAAAG